TTCACCAAGCCAAGCATCTGAAAGAACATGGAAATTCGATATTGAACTATATATCACGGTCGGTCCCAAACTTTTTGGCTTTTGGCCTATGCGATGTACCACTTAGCCATATACAAGTTAGCTAGGCACTTAGTATTGTAAATATAAAACCGTGGTTAAATAGACCCTAAAGGTATCGGGCTCATATATATATATATATACAGATACCCACATACACATAATCACATACATTGCTGCTGTGCGCTTGCAACAGCGTAATCTACAAGTTGTGTTCGCTAAGGGCGATGGATGTTTGTCGGAAGTCGGGATTGAACCAGAGACTCCCTGGCGACAGTAAAACCCTTGACCCCAATCACGACTCAAAGTCTTTGCCTTCTGATCTTTTGGCTCTCATTTCTATATTATTTCAACTTTTTGGGTTTAGGGTTTAGGGTTTTGGCTCTTATTCCTGTCTCAATTCCTAAAGCTTCCAAAACCGTCCCTGGGTCGAGGCTGCCCCTTGCCCGTTTATCATTTTCAGAAATTCCTCCGTAATCATGCACTTCTCCTGTCCAGGCTTCGTTCACAATATTGGGCTTTAGGTTGATAGGGTGAGGAGATTCAATGCGCGCTTGCAGAGTTGGCCTGTTAAGTGTCGAAGGAGGTAATTGCTCTCGATCCCCACTGAAACCGCTGATTTCGATGAGCTCCTTCCAACCACCGGGCGAAAGCTCCAACATGATAGCCGCAATCGGAGCGCAACCCCCACGAGAGTGTACATCAGAAAGGCAAGTGCTACGCCCGAAAAAACCCTCTGCTAAATAATAATATTGAACTATGATGATGCTATAACTATAGGATATAATGCTTAAAAAGTAAGGCTTTCTGTTGATCGCCTGGTCATCCCCAAGGCCTGAAACAGCAACCCAAATGGGAAATTTCGACAATGGGGGATGCTGTCTCGTAGAACCTCAACAGAATAGGACCCCTATTGCAAGGATTCTTAGATACCGACCCAACTCAGACCCTATGGGGTTCCAGTTGTGCAGCTTGTGGCAGATCCTGTGGTGACGTGGTTCACATGCAGGGTGAAACAAATTGTAGTAGGGTGTCTCGGGAAACGGGTTCTCGAGATTGTCCAGCATGTCCAAGTTTCTAGCTGCAGGTTGCAAGTCTAATTGTCGACTCTCACCCAGCTCGAAACACTGAATCCTACACATTCGTTGCAGTGTTTAGGTGGGTTTAGATTGTAGTCTCAGGACCCTGAACCCAGCCCGTCCCTCGGAAAGTCGCTGTCAAAAGCTAATCCTACGTCCCGAACCATGAGACCGAGCCTGTCATGACAGTGACCGCCGTTGCCAGGACAAAGACATTCAGCAGCACACTTCTCGTCATGCCCTCTGGGGTAAACCTAGTTCGGTTGTCGGGTGTGGTCTTCGGTTGTTGGTTGAGGTCATGTAGCTTATGGCAACTTGAAGCTGCCCTCATAATCCCCGGCACCCTTGTAGTGCGCCGTGTAGGACCATTACCATACCCCTGTAGTACCCTGGGTGGCTTTGTTTTTATTGTGTTTTATACGGGGCGGTTTTGGCTTTGTGTTGGCAGGTTTCAGGCCCCAGACTCCTGTCAGGTTTGGTGTAGGGTTTGGGAGAAAGCTGGACTTTGTGTGTTTACCGATCCTTTTGACAAGAGAGGTTGATTTGGGGCCAGGGTTTTGCGGTTCAAAGCCGAATAGAGGTGTAAATTTAGCACATATCTTCGGCACTGGACCAAATAGGCCTTGCCTTGCCTTTCTCTACAGTAAATGAACAAACAAGCAGCTTTCTCAGCTTTTTTCAGAGCCTGAGCAAACTGACGGCATCAGCCGGGGCAAGCAGCGCTGCCTCCTAGGACCGAGTCTACTCAGTGACAAGTGCCCACAGAACAATGGAAATTTCAGGCTTCGTCTTAAACTTTTCGGTAACGGTCTAGCTTAATAATTAATTGCAAAGCGAAGAACCGACACCCAAACTCTACATAACGTTTGATCCCCTGAGCGCTCCACAGGGAATGCGTCTCCGCGGTGTCCATGCAAGGCACCTGGTCAATAGCCGGCATGAAACCAAACCCCACAAAGCGACAAACCCAGAACCCCAACCCCAAACCCTAAACCCCTCGACCTGTAAGCCGTGAGCACGTAAAACCGAAACCTGCCGAGTCTTTGTTTAAGTCAACTTCCGGACTTGCATCATAATAAAGGCAGCGTTGCATTTCTGAGGGAGTTATATGGTAGCTTTAAATGCATCTTCAAGCCTACCAACTTCTAGAAACCCTTGCAAGCATCCCTTTCTGCCACCCACCCAGCTGACCAAGTCGCACCGCAAGGCTTGGGTGTTTAGCTTCGTTCTTCTAGGGATTGCGGCTAGCATTAGGCGTTTTTTGTGTTGGGGTTTGTTCAGTCTGCTTTCCTTGTTATTGGTTTAATGCTGTAGGATTTTGGGTATGGCTTTTTTGAATGCAATCCCTTCTTTGGCTGAACTTGGCTGAACCACTTCAAGATTAGGAAACCCCAAGCCCTACAACAAAGAACCCAAGGAAACCAGAAACGGAATATGGTCGGGGATCTGGGGACGAACAGAATGTGAATGAACACGAACAGGTGGACAGCATTCCATCTCCCCGCACATGAATAAAACCTCGAACCCTAAACCCTAAACCCTAAAACCCTAAACCCTCAACCTCGATTCCTGGAGTATCACTACCCCTCCCCCCTTGCCCGGGACCTTCAAGCAGTAGCTCCAGCCATTGCTGCCCCAGACGAAGTGCGTGACATGGGAGCCTCGGTCTGAACATGACCCGTTTTATTGGTTTAGGGTTTAGAGGTTTAGGGTTTAGAGTTTATAAGGGTGTTTAGGGTCTAGGGTTCCCTTAAGATATGGGCAGGGTTTAGGGTTTAGAGTTTATAAGGGTTTAGGGTCTAGGGTTCCCTTAAGATATGGGCAAGAGTTTAGAGGTTTAGGGTTTAGGGTTTAGAGTTTAGGGTCTAGGGTTCCCTTAAGATATGGGCAGTCTATGCTGTTTTGCTTTTATTGGCGGGGTTGAGGGGCTTGGGTTGGGATGGGTGGTCTCTGAGTAGGCCTTGGGCATAGGGCCACGACCATGGTAGATAGCTGAGGAACACAGCAGGAAAAACTAAACAAATAGAAGTAGACAACTGTGTGAATCACTTGGATTTTAATGCCAACCGGGGTTTCGGCGCCGACACCCAGCCTGAGGATCAGGATGGCCACATGAATAGTTCAAGCTGAAGGGGACCCCTTGGGTTCCCGAGCGGGCCACCTCTTCTGCGTGTGGGATCAAGAAGTTGGGAGCTAGGTCTAGGGCTTCAGGGCGCAGGGTTTAGGATACCAAGTTGGTTGCCAAGAAGCACCACTCGTCCACCACATGGGAGGAGGGCGCTTTCGGGTTCCTTGTATCAGAAGCACTGGGTCCAAGGTTGGACTGCCAGGCTTGGGGCTTAGAGGTCGGGTTTCAGGATTGCGCTTCAAGCTGATGTACCATAAAATAAAGCCCTAAGAATCAACGCGAGAGCCCCCAAACCCGAAATCCAATCCCTACAGGGCCTGTGGATTACCTCTGGCCCCAAACTCTGCAAAAAAAAGAAGTCGGTCATGACCCCGGTGCTTACCGGGCATAGCTGAAACAACCCATAATTAAACCAGTTATTGGATCCATATGTTGGGCTTGGGGGTTCAATCCTTCTGGTCAGGTGTGGCAAAAGTTGTTGCTGAGGGGCTCTTGAAAATGGGGGGGGGGTTCCCTTTGTCTGAGGTGCAGAGCCAGTGATTTTCTGAGTTCCAATATTAATATACTGCGATGGGGTACCTTTTGTGTGAGGTGCATCAGAGCCAGTGATTTTCTGAGTTGCAATATACTGCAAAAGCCTTACCAAGTCCATTCATGTGCACACTGGATGAAACACGGACAGGTGCAAACACAAGTAGACTGCGCGAAACCGATGCTTCACCAAAAGATGCAGTCTTTGCAGGGGTCACAAGCAGCAACACCACTCAAATATACGAGGAATGTCTCTTAACTACGCTGTGAATTGCCTTTTGGAAAACACCCACCCGAACCCCACACAGCCTTCTTTCTTTTCACTCATCGTCACTAATCCGAAATCCGGAATAAATCCTTATTGAAAAAGCTCACAGCATCCTAAGGCAACCCTTTCCACACGCTCGTAAACCCAACCACAACCCAGAAAACCGTGGAATCAGTGCAGCCCTGCCGTACATGCTAAAGCCCTAAGCCCCTAAACCCCTTAAGCCCTTAAACCGAAGTCATGCTGGTTTCAAGCTTGGTTTCGGATCAAAGGTCGTGCATCCCTCGTAGCGGTGGCCATTAAGAACGAAGCTCTGCACCTTTGTGGGTCAAGATAGCGACCCGAATATTTAGATTAGGGGTTGCCTCAGGGTTTCGTTTATAAGAGTCTTCTTGGGATAAGGGCTTTAGGGGGCGGTTTTTAGCTGAGCAGTGAAATCGCGGCATCGGCAAGCATATATGTGGCGAGACAATAGAGGAATAAGATCAGCATGACATTCCGACCCCATGTTATGCAAGAGAGGGCTCGTTGGGCTTTCGGCGCTCACACTGGGACGTGTTGGGCCTAGGCTTGAGCGATCCTGCAAAACTACCTTGGCCTATTCCGCCAGAATCTTATGGTAGCTTGGCCCGAAAGCTCGGAGCTTTCGGGTCGTTCGGCTTGGGGGTCATGTCCTTGGGGTACGACGGCGGTGTTTCGGAAAGTCCAGTAGGATCTAGAATCTATCTACACTTGCATATGCTAAAGTTGCCTGTCAGAAGCTACACGGCCGTGAGCTTAGCCGTTGACCTCAACACCACACCGATTTTGAGTTACTTATTGTGCTCTCTTTCTTGCGTGCATAACTTGCTTAAGCCGAGTAGCACATGTTGATGCTGGCTTAAAACAAATCTCCGGCATGTCCGACATGGCGGACGCTCTCAGAAGGCTAGATTCGAGACGGGCTTCACTGCCATGTCTTTTCTGAGGTGCGCCTGTGGTTTAAATAGGGCTGAGAGCTGGAGTCGATGGGTCTGTGCTCTTCTCTGGTTAGAAGGCCTGCAAGCCCCAAACCCTCGAAACTACCTTCTGCTGTTGGAAGGTCAGGGAAGTTAGGCGTGGGCGACGCACTCCGGGCATCTGCGCTGGACAGCACACGACTCTAGGGCTGAGTGCCTGATCTGGGTGTGTGGTTTTAGGCCTCAGGTTTGCAGGATTGCGAGGGTGTGTTGGTGGATGCAGGTTTGGGAATTTGGGGCTTCGGTCATTGAGGCGTTTAGACTTCGTGACGGGAGTTCTGTGCAATACTTGCACTGGGAGGCCGTTCTCCGGCTCTTGCCGAGCCGCTAAAAAAAGCTGCAGACTGGGATTCAGGGCAACTGGGGCTATAGGTTCTAGCCCGGCTTGACTTCAACACAGCTTGTCATCTTCGGCAGCTAAGCCCTAAACCCTAGAAACTGAGACCCAAAGCCGCATAACCCCAAGATCAACCCCCCAAAAGCAGAAGCGCACATCGATGCTGTTCGGATCGCTGGGCCTTTCTGGACCCTAGACGACCTACCGTTTAGGGTTTCTTATGGGTATAGAGTTTAGGGCGTACATAAGTCCGTGCAAACAGTGGGCTTTATGGGCTAAAGATTTCTCACTTGTCGAGATTTCCCGGGTTCATTGGTAGCAGAATATTTGGGGATTTAGAAAGGGCCTACGTAGGTAGCTGCGGTTTGGAGGTTTAAGGTTTAGGTCCATGGGATTTTTAAGCTTAAGGCTGGGGGTTCAGGGGTTTTTCGCTTCAATAGCTAGGGCCTAGGGTTCGGGGTTTAGGGGTTAGGGTTTAGGGTCTATAGGGTTCAGAGTTTAGGGTTTAGGGTTTGGCAAGGGGGCTTATCTTGCGAGTGTGAAGAACTGTCAGCTGCACTGTCTGACAGGTGACTTGGATGCTGCGTATGCTGATTAGGGCCAGGGAGCCGTTCAGTGACCTTGTTCTAAGTCTAGCTGTGGTGAAGCCTGTATATACTCATCCTTGTCAGTGCTGTCGTTCATCATCCACCTCCATCTGCTGCCTACGCAGGTACAGTAATTCAGGTTGTCGGTCGGAGCGTCTCGCATTACAGGGCATGTGCACCGGCAGTGCTTGCGGGCATCGGTTTAAGGACCAGCCGAGGCTTGAGTTTGAAGATGGGCTGCGATCTTCGCCACCATCCCTTTCAACCCCAGTCCTGAGGCCAAAAATGCTCGAAGAGCTGCACACGAACAAACAAACCTGAGCAATCACAGCACGATCACAACATATCAACTTCCCACACCCCACCTCTGCAAGAACCCTAAAAGAAATGGCCAGAAATCCGGTAGCCACGGTCAGAGCCACGCACCAGTCGGTGGCTCCCGCCGGCGCAGAGACGCGAAGCGGAGCTGAGAGGATGTCGGATATACAGTGAGGCTTGATGGTTTACGGCGAGGATTACCCGATATAAGAGTCCGCAGGCTGTGGCGATGTAGATAACTTACGCACAATGTAGCCAGTAACTAGCCGGACTACGAAGGAAGTTCTCCATGCCAGGCTCCTACAGCAAAGCAAGCCGGACTCGTATTTGCCAATTCTTGCTCAGGTTCTGTTCTTAGGGTTTCGGTTTTCTTGGGGCCCTAAAAAGGAGGAAGCGCCATAAATTTGATTAGCATACAGTTCGGTTCAACGATACACATGCAAAACATCAGCTAAACAATAGATGAACGACCAAGTGCATGTGCGTATATACACATATATGCATGGCACACTTCTTCTTGGCACCCCTCTACCTGCATACATATATATATATATGTAGTATACATATTTCTGTCTGCTTGCATGTATGCCCTGAACCAAGGAATCGTGGGACAGCGCGCCTCCCCCCCTCAACGGTTTAGGCTTTAGAGTTTGGTTTAGGGTTTATAGGCCCAGTTTAGGGTTGGGGTTCAGGGTTTAGGGTTTAGGGTTTCGTTTCGGGTTTGGGGTTCAGGGCTTTTTTTTGCCTCAGGGTTTTAATTAGTGTTCAGGGTTTTTGACACTCACACTCGGACAAGCCTGGCAAGGTCTGTAGTGATACTGGTCCAACGACTCATGAACAGCCGACTCGGCCCGTATCACCAAGTAGGACAAGCTCTCGGGCAGGGCTAACGAAAGGACAACTACAAGTGCACAACCCTTTTTTGAACGAGGTCTCCCTGAAGTGCCTCCAGGTGCACAACCCTGAACCCTAAACCTAAACCCATAACAAACAAAAGGATCAAAGCCCATCTGACTGGAGCCTCCCGCAGAAGCGAACATCCACATACCCGAAAGTCCCCAAACCCTAGTATGGGCCCAACTACAAGGAAATCACACTAAATCCCAACTGCTGTTCCTCCATGTCCTTCTCAGACTGCTGGATCCTCCTCGCTTTCTTAGACGCCACCCTGCAATGAGCTGGTTCAAACACGGCAGCAGCGTTTGCGTTCTAAATCACTGGCAAGGCAGCCAGATAGAATGTAGGCTGCCGGGATGCCCAATTCGCGCCAGACGTTGTTGCCGCGTGGAAGGCCTGGAGCCGCGCTGTACACCAGCTCCACAGACGCTGACCAGGCATGCCTGGCCCTGTCCGACACGAAAGGTATCGGGTGGGGCTCGAAGCCATGGAACACAGAGCCGGCCAATGTTCCCTGAATAACATTGACTGGCACTCCTGGCGGCTTAGGGTTCAGGGTTTAGGGTTGTAGGGCTTTTTCGACTACTGCCGCAGATCAAAACCCTAAGCGAGAAAACACCAAAAACACGAAACCCCACAGAGAACCCGAAGGGCTGGTATCACAAGAAAGCCAAGCCCTTGTACTAACACATGCGAAAGTGCCCACCAAATTCTGATCTACAGCGTGACACACACACAGCATAACTGAAATAACGATTGCTCGTAGCCCGAGGAGGAGAAGTTCGCAGCCGCAGGAGAACCAATCATTCTTGATACTATTTTGGAGGTTCCTTCTTATAGTTATAATAATGCTGGACCCCCACAAACCCTAGTCTAATTATGAAGTAATCCATGTTCGAACCTTGTTGGAGGCTGATTGTGGGAGGCTTTTGCGATCCTTGCCTGCCAAAGGTATGCAGACAGCGTGACCTGGGACAAGACAACAGCTGGGGTTTAGGGTTTAGGGGTTTAGAGGTTTGGGTTTAGGGTTTATAGGGGTTCGTACTGGCGCAGTCGTTCTGGGCCCCTCTCGTGGTCCTCATTGTTGCGCGCTCACTGAAGGCAAACTCTGTTGAGTACCTTGCAAAAGGAAGTCAAGTTCGAGAACTGTCCAATTCCAAGAAGGCTCCCTCATTCCCAGCTTGATAAACAAGCGAACATTAAAACAACATCGCATGAAAGAGGCTCTCCCGTGCCAGCCGGTGCACAAAACTAACAACTAAGCCACTAAGCAGTCGTTCGACGTTGCGGGGGTGATGCATGTGTTTGAGGTTCTACACAATCACTCTGCGGGGATTAATGTTAGAAGGTACTGAGATTTTGAAGCTCTAGGACCAGGCATGGGTTTCTATTCTTGTGCAGGCCCTCTGTTTGCTTTAGGATTCCGGGTTTAGGGCTGAGGTATCCCAGACCCCCGGGAGGATCCAAAAAGTAGATCTCTTAAGGGGGTTCCTATAAAGTGCCCTTTAGTAGTTAGGGTCCCAAATTAGGGGATCTATACTTTTTGGATCCTCCCGGGGGTCTGGGATTAGGCTTTTCAAGATCACAAGCGCAAGGTCGCGGTACCACGAGTAGGCTTCCGACCTCGCTTCCGCCCGCGGCCGAGGGAACCGCACCTCTAACAAACACATCGCTGGGAGCAACCCCTAAACTGGTTCCTTGTTGGGGCTATATTGAACATGATCATTTTTGATCCTTGTTGGGTTTTTATTATAACAAAAATGTAAAATTGTAGCCAACAGGCACCCAGTAAACCCTTTGTTTTGAAGCAGGGCTCGGCAGCTATGCCTCGCCCTCCACCCGTGAGCTCAAAACCCCTAGACACGACTCGAAGGGGTGTGGAGCAGAATCAGAACTTTGGTCTTCAGGAACTGAAAGCCTGTCGGCAGCAGTACGAGAGGTTAAGCGTAATAGCAAGCTCCTTAGTTGCGGAATCGTACTAAGGTCATGCAAATGCTCTGTAGCATTGGGCTGTAATGTGCTCTTTACAGGCTTAAGGCTTGCATGCAAGGAGTCGGGTATACTCCTTAATCACGGAATCATGCTATGATGTTACTAAAAAGCTCTGTAGAAGTGAGCTGTTTGGGTTTATATGTTTACATACAAGCGGCATGGCCCCGTGTAGTGGCCTCTTCCACTGCTT